AATTTGTTCCTATAAGTTGTTGTAAGGATAATAAATTCATGGTATATTTTATTTAAGCTTCAGCAGATTAACATTTTTCCTAGAATTTAGAGTAGGTACTTATTTACTGTGCGGTGGCATTTCACAGCTGATTTATCTGAGTGTCCACAGCCGCGGTAATGAAAACATACAGCCTCCCCTCACCGCACCCCGCTACCCGCACCCCGCCCCTTGCGGAGCCGCGCTAATTAATTGGACTAATTAAAATGTATAAGTGCTCGAATTCGAAATGAAAAGCCAAGATATTACAGCTGTGAACATAATCGCTTTGACAACTGTTTATATTACCTAACAACAGATAATTTCTTTTTAACAAGTCATTCCGCGCATAATTAAATAAAAAAACTTAATAGTATCCCATGTATTCTTCCAGACTATGTTCTCCTTTCATAGAGATAAGTTTAACCATTTGTAATTTTTTTGATCAAAATCACAATTATGTATAGAAATTCGTTCATATGTATCGAGTACAATAACCTTTAACTATAAAATAAATACATTGACTAAGTAAAGGCGGCTGCAAACTATGTATAAACAAGAGCATCTCGTCAGTCAGTTTGCTAATGGCTCGAGTGGAATGTCGTGTTCTCTCAAGTTTGTATAAAGTGCTCGCACATATAATAGTTAAGGAAACATTTTACTTTGAAATAGCTTCATTATATTTGTATTGTTAAATTAAGGTTTACATAATTTGATAAGAAAGCATAACAAAAGAATCAATTACATTTTCCGCTGCGGGGAGTGCGCCGGCGCCGGCAGCACGGGCTCAATGAACAAATTCTTCTAAAAATTGTCACCCGACATCTCGTTAAAATGAAACTGCTGAACAATTTCTATCAATTATTAAATTCCAATTTGTTTAATGTCGACATCCATAATATTTGAGAAGGGACGTTTAGTCGAATTTTCTTTAATTTGATGAAATTTATCTGAAATGCTTTGATTTTATGCCTTTATTTCTAGCTTTGTTTTAATAACATTTTAACCTTATAGGTAAACTGTAAAGCAAGTAAACAATAATCTGGGTTAAATACATTAAAATGTTTGAAGAAAAATAAAACCATAGTGAGTAATGAAGATGAGATGATGTGAACGGTGGCGATGGCGGTGGTCCAAGTTGTGTTTGTGCTCGGACTTTTACGATATCATATTTCTCGTACATGTGTGAAACTTGAGCGAAACTCATTCAACTTTCTTTATAAAACAAACACGTTTACTTTTATTTTTCATTATATGTTTGATTTGATATTTTTTTTACAAAAGATATTTTTGTGTTATTAAAATATAACCTAAGAGATGATGTCGATAGATCGATATTTTATGATATTATTAAGGCGAATGTAATATGGGAATTAAAGCGAATATGTACATGCAACATAATATGTATAATTTATATATTCATTATGATAGGGTGAATCCAGATAAAAGTTACAATAGGTAATGGGAGCTCCCGAGACACGTTTTCACTTGTGTTTTCTACATTGTATCTTTATGACATTTCGCATGAAATTTCTTTGTCATTGCCTTTTTTTACATCAATGAACAATTTTCATGACAAACAAGAATATTATCTTACGGATACAACAGTCAATAAGTTCCCAACGATAATATTGACAGAAAATACGAAGATGACCTTTAGCATACAGAAATGTAAACGATAATGAAAGCTAATTTCCATTTTATTTAGTATACCTTTTATGTTGCATTTTCTTCATTTATATTTTTATTTTTCCTTTAACAATAAGAAATATAACTGGTCACGCGAAATATTTGCGTTAGTCTCGGCCTAAAGTGTAAGCCGTTATCTCTTCACACGCACGCACGGCCCGGGGGTCCAGGGGCTTTAAATTCATAAAAGGGGTTAAAATGTTATTTTAAATCTCTGCCTACAGCTCACTATTTTAATCTATATAGCGTTAGATTTTAGTAGAATACAGGTTCACAGTGAAACTTACAATAATTTTAAAATAAATCCTTTTAAAGTATGACTATTATTTGAACTATAACATCATGAAAATTAAAGAGAAAAGTAGTTAATACGCATCGAGGTACTCTAAAATACAACATACTTAAATCGTAAATACCTGAAAAGCTGAAAAACACATCTCGCACCCTCACCTAGTGTCGTATAAAACAGTAACGACGCGGCTGTTACGTGCCGAGAGCCGCCGCGCTCCTCTCACTTTACAACACCTCTTATGACACACGTCCTGTGTCATAAATCATAGCTGTTATACAGGGTGTTCGGGAAATACGTGTACGATGGACTTCCACAGATTCCTTGAAAATATGACAATTTGAACCAACTTACGTCTATCCCGAGTCTTTCTCAGACACCCTGTATGTTAACATAGTTTTAAATGTACGTAAAAGTAAATACCAGAATGAATTAATGCAACGAGATCAAATACAATTGTTTCTTCTCTAATAATTATAACTGCTATTCGTAGCTCCATACTTTTTTAAAGTGTCATGCAAAACATATTTTGTTTGCGGCGTTTAGGACGGAGGTGTGGGG